GGAAACACGAGCGCGCCAAGCAACCGCCGTCTGCGTTATCCGCCGCACGGGACGATATTTCGCGCAGAAAGTGGCAGAAAGGCACTGTGTGCTACGTGAACTCCGTAGCTCATATCGCTCCCTCGAGCGCGGCTATCCATCGCTACGCGTAACGTAAGCGATGGATTTACTCGCGCCGGGTGATAACGCACGCCGCTTCCAAAATGCCGCACAATACGTCCAACTCAGTGGACAATTCCAATCGTCCTACCCGGTGTCGTTTCACCTCGGCCTTTGTCATTTGAACTCTCGCGTATACATGCAAGTATTTTCCTCGACCCACGTTATCGACGCATTGTCGTCACAGTGTCAAACGATCGACGGTCGAATTCCGTCGGATTGCTGCAAAACGCGCTCGTAGACTCTTGTTTGCCTCGAGAATTCTGATGCATGATCGAAAACAATAGTGTAATAGTGTAAATCAAAAAATTCTGTTATAATATAGTACAGTTTTTGATTTTAGGTAAGAGTGAAAGAAGTGCCATTTTGAGGATCCATAAGAATGATGCTAATCAAATAATAGAACGAGGGACAAATAATCAGCTGTAATAAATATTCAACGTGTAATATGGGGGCGTTTTTGGATACTCCAAACACAGAGAAGTGCAATGAGCATGGCACTGGTAACGGCCTGAAGTACGGCGTTGCCAGTATGCAAGGATGGCGAATGGAGATGGAGGATGCTCATCGAGCAATTCCCTGCTTGGATGGTGGTCTCTCGGATTGGAGCTATTTTGCAGTGTTTGATGGCCATGCAGGTGCATTGGTATCAGCGCACAGTGCAGAACACTTATTAGAATGTATAATGCAAACGCAGGAGTTTAAGGCCGAGGATGTTATAAAAGGGATCCATTCTGGATTTCTCAGACTCGACGACGAGATGAGGGATTTGCCAGCGATGAGCGCTGGCATGGACAAATCCGGCTCCACGGCGGTGTGTGCATTTATATCGCCCAAAAATATTTATATCGCCAATTGTGGCGACTCTCGGGCGGTACTCTGTAGATCTGGACTACCAGTCTTCTCAACGCGGGATCACAAGCCCGTTTTACCCGCTGAGAAGGAGAGAATTCAGAATGCAGGTGGTAGCGTAATGATCCAAAGAGTTAACGGATCTCTGGCGGTTTCCCGGGCATTGGGTGATTACGAGTACAAAAATTTGAAAGATCGAGGCCCTTGTGAGCAGTTAGTGTCGCCGGAACCGGAAATATTCATGCTAGACAGGGACGATGAACACGATGAGTTTCTAGTTTTAGCATGTGATGGCATTTGGGATGTAATGAACAACGAAGATTTATGTAATTTTATACATTCAAGGCTGCAGCTAACCGATGATTTAGAAGCAGTTACCAATCTGGTTGTAGACACTTGTCTTTATAAGGTATTGTATGATTATATCTTACACATATGTATATGTTTATATTATTATTATTATTATTATTTTTATTATTATTATTATTATTATTATTAGGCGTTAGGAACTCGAAAACTCATTGCCGCAATT